TAGGAATGAGTAGAGTAGAGTAGAATAGAATACAAATAGGAATGAATAGAGTAAAGTAGAGTAAAGTAGAGTAGAATAGAATAGAAATAGAAATAGGAATGAGTAGAGTAGAGTAGAGTAGAATAGAATAGAAATAGGAATGAATAGAGTATAGTAGCGTAGAGTAGAATAGAATAGAATAGAATAGAAATAGGAATGAATAGAGTAGAGTAGAGTAGAATAGAATAGAATAGAATAGAAATAGGAATGAATAGAGTAGAGTAGAGTAGAATAGAATAGAATAGAATAGAATAGAAATAGGAATGAATAGAGTAAAGTAGAATAGAGTAGAATAGAATAGAAATAGGAATGAGTAGAGTAGAGTAGAGTAGAGTAGAGTAGAGTAGAGTAGAGTAGAGTAGAGTAGAGTAGAGTAGAATAGAATAGAATAGAATAGAATAGAGCTGGAAGGGACCTTGGAGGTCTTCTAGTCCAGCCACCTGCTCAAGCAGGAGAACTTATACCATCTCAGACAAGTGACTATCTAGCCTCTTCTTAAAAACCTCCACTGATGGGGTGCCCACGATTTCTGGAGGCAAGCTGTTCCGCTGATTAATTGTCCTCGCTGTCAGGAACTTCCTCCTTAATTCCAGGTTGCTTCTCTCTTTGATCAGCTTCCAACCATGGTTTCTCGTCCTTCCCTCTGGTGCTTTGGTGAACAACCTGGCCCCCTCTGCCTTGTGGCAGCCCCTCAGATACTGGAATACTGCTATCATGTCCCCCCTATTTCTTCTTTTCTTTAGACTAGCCAAACCCAAATCCTGCAACTGTTCTTAGTCTCCAGTCCACATGTCTTAAACTTGCTAAGGTTAAGAAATCTTAATCCAGGCTATAATAACAGAATCTTGAATGACCAACTCTCCCCCCCTTAGGCCCAAGAGAGTTAAGGCCAGGAAAATTTGTTTTTTCTTCTGTTCCCAGAATTAGATCACGTTTTGCTAACTGTCATATTCTTTCCCCAAGGCCATTTCTATGGTTCTCTACAAGCGCATTGAAAGAGAATCCAAGTACCATTTTAAAGAGGGTGAATTAGACCAGGTTGTCTTAACATGAGAACTGCCAAATCCCCTAATCTTTACAGGTGACCTTTATTGGTTCTTCAACCCCCATCATTTGGTGAAGATAATCTAGCAACTATTTGTTCTTGAGGATTTATATAGTTAGGATTTCTGTCTCCCCCTCCCCCCACCCCTTGAGCTTTTCTGTGTTTTCTTTGGGGAATTCAGTTCAGCCCTTATTCAATTAATAAATGCCAGGGTGATATTTGCACAAGTAACCTGTTTAAATACAAGTCAAGGCAGCCTTGGGTGATGATTCATTCTGAAACGGCGTGAAAGGTTGAGAAACAGAAGTCTTCACTGGAGCTTTAGAACAGATGATTTTCCTGAACCACCCATTTAATCAAGACTTACTTCTGTGGGTGGACCCCCCCTTCCATGCACATGGCTATTTCATTTTGCACCCCCAAATTGCACACTAAAATCTTTGATTTTTAGTGGGGTGATTTCCCCACCCACCCAGTTCTAAGGTGCTAAGTAAGACCAGTGAGCCTCCATACCTGGAAAATATAGAACAAACCCCTATTAATGCTGTCATATTATCACAAGGACTTCTGCTATCTATGGAGGCCAACACAGCTTCAGCGCAGCTTCGTCTAATAATCCCCAAGGCCACCTGTATTAACTGGATCCAAGAATTAGATACATGTGATGAAAGCAAAGTTCATAAGGAAGGAACAAGAAGGCTCCAGAATATGACATCCATCTGACATTCTAATGTTGGAAAACGGTTTTTAAATTTTGAATCATATAAAGACTGCAACTGGCTATGTGAAAGGACCACACCTTGCTAAGGCAACACATCCATTGTTGCTTTATGTAAATGTAGATTCAATAGGAACATCCCTTTGGATGTCAACATACAGGACGTAATGAAGGAAAGGATCACTTCAAGATTACTTCATATAACTTCTGTGTTTAACCTCTATGAAGTTTCCCCCAAAAAACTTTGCTAGCTTCTTCAAAACTCGTTTAAGTTCCTAGCAGATTTTTGAAGGAAATTTGTTTCCAGTTAGCACACTTGCCCGATTTCTTTCCATATCCATTTTATTCATTTAATTGAACAGTTTGCTTTTGGAATCAGAGTCAAATAAAATAAAAGTTCAGGCAAATTCTTCTGAATCAAATATGGAGTGTTTTCATGTCTTTCGGGTTGAGATGGACAAATGATGCATCTGGATGTCTTCTTGAGGGAGGTGACATCATTTTTTAAAAAATAAATGTGCTAGATAGTTTGGAAAAATGTGTACTCCAGTTCCTATATTCAAAGATCTGGATCTGTACAACCTCTAAACCCTCACTTTTAGATTGATCTGGAGGAGTCAAGGATAACTTGAATTCTTGATTTGGTTGAGGATATAACAAAGGCCATGAACAGCCTCAGGTTCCTGGTGTGATGGAAGATTGAAGATGCACTCCTTTAAAAAAAATACATAGCTTAAGCAAAAGAAAACTAAGCAATTTTAGACAGTGACAGACAGAGAAATTTCTCTGCAATTTTAATTAATTCTCATTCAATGTAACAGTTGAGAATCTACTTTGGGGATTATTTTTTGGGGAAGAGAATTTCAGGGTGGTGTTCTTGCTCTGCTAGCAATAAGATGGTGTGTATGAGTGTTGTTATTGCACAATCACTCCTCCAGTTGGTATGCAGTCTTCCTGGCTTTCCATGCTAAAATTCAATACCATGGGAAAACACCATCAGTAGTGAACTCATGGAATGCTTTCAATTGCTCCTGATATCACTAAGCAGGTATCCTATTGTGCCCTTGAAAAATAAATAATTTCTGTTTCCCTTAAAGAAATTCAGAGAAACTCTCTAGCCAGTTTCTCTAGCCTAAAATTGAGTGGGAGATTACAAAAGGCCAGCTCTTCTTCAGAATTAGCTTGTGAAGGTGAAATTGTTGGGCCACCAGCAGTTTTAATCAAAACATTTTCTCACCTCTTTGGAACATGTGCAAGGACAAGCCAAGACATGGCTGCCTTTTGAATGGCATTAAGGTTGAAAGAGGTCCTATTTTGACAGGGAAAGGGTTCCACAGAGAAGACATGCTGCATGTTCAACCTTCCCATGGCTTTCTCCCTCACAGAAGAAAGAACAGTACTGGTGACATGAAGGCAAGCTGCAAGGTAGGGGAAGAAGAGATTTATGAATTATCAACTTCTAAAATGAGAACCACAAAGTTGGGGTGGGATTTTTTGGGGAGAGAATTTTCTCATGTTAAAATTAACATTGCCAATTATTGCAGGGAACACTTTGTACTATTTTCCAGGTTGGCCTTTGATGGTCCAGTCTCTCAATGGTAGCTGGATATGACCAGGAAAACAGCTTAATGAAGTCCCAACACAGTTCCCTCAGAAGAATTCAGAAGGTCCCTCTCCATGCATTTAGTAATCTTCCTCCTATGTCATATGGGTAGAAACTTTTGGAGGGGCGCTTTATTACAACCTCTGGGGTCCTTGCTTAGGAGTTTTGGAATAAGCATTCCAACTGACTTAATTATTAATTATGAGACCTAATATGGCCCAAGAGCCAGTTTGGTGTAGTGGTTAAGGCATCAGGATAGAAACTGGGAATTTGGGAGTTCTAGTCCTGCCCTAAGTGTAGTCCTGGAGAAGACAATGATGCTAGGAATGGTTAGTGGAACAAGAAGGTGGCAAGCAACGAACATGCTGGATTGATGACATCAAGACTGATGCAAAGTTGAACACCCAACAATTGAAAGAAGCTGTGCTTGACAGGGGAGCATGGAGAGCACTTGCGTATAAACTTGTCAAGAGTCAGATATGACCAAATTGAAACAACAGCTGTCCTGTCCTAGAAAGCCAGCTTGGCAACCTTCAGCCAGTCACTCTCTTTCAGCCCTAGGAAAGAGGTAATGGCAAGCCCCCTCTGAAAAACCTTGCCAAGAAAATTGTAAGGATTTGTCCAGGAGGTTTCTGAGAACTGGACACGATTGAATGGAAGGGGGAAAAAATGTCCTACCTGGTGCTGAGGGAGATGAACCCTTGCGGTTGCCTCTTCCCTAAGATCTAAGGATGATACGTGATATGTCTCTATCATGCTCAGAATTTCCCATCTCACCCCCAGCAGAGACAGAGCAAGACGGCACTGCCTCCACTTGGGCCACTGTTGCTAGGGAGATGGAGCTGAAAATGGGATAGGTAATTGTTAGTAGAGTGCAGCCTTTCCATCTCCTTTGAATCTATCTGGCTTAAGTATTTTAATGGACATTGGATTGTTCCCTCCTGACTATTTTTTATAGCAAAATGGGACCTTGGCATTTCAAAATCAGAACATGGCCATTTAGAAAATAAGAAAAGCAACAGCCAGAAGAGGACGTAATTAAAAAAAAAAACCCTCTTCACAGAAATGTGTTTTATTAGTGTGCATTCAAATGGTAAAAGGTCTCTCTTTTAGCAACCAGTCCAATCATATTTGACTTCAGCTAGCTATAGGTTCAAACATTATCTAGATCAGCGGTTCCCAACCTTTTCTATACCCCGTGCCCCTAGAACGCTTCTGATAACTTCTCGCACCCCTTACAAAAGTTTAAAATGAAAGCAACATATTATGCATATACACTATAATTTTGAAAACCCAAGTTGTCGCACCCCTTGGAATATCGTCTCGCACCCCCAGTTGGGAACCCCTGATCTAGATCAATGTTTCTCAACCTTGGCAGTCCCAAAGGTGCTTTTTCAGAGCTGAAGAAGCTTCTTGGATGAGAAGCGAAACGTCTTCAAAGAAAAACAAGAAAGTCCAGTTGCCTCTTGAAAAAGCACTTTTGATCTTGGATGATTGAGAATCTCCATAGACATCAACCTTGGCAGCTTGAAGATGTGTGGACCTCAACTCCCAGAATTCCCTGGCCAGGGCAAGGGAATTCTGGGAGCTGAAGTCCACACATCTTTAGGCTGCCAAGGCTGAGGAACACTCATCTAGATAATATCTTGAGTGGTTAGCACAACATTGCCAGCAAACCTCCCAACTCCTCTTCCTTCTTGGTACGTCTTAGTGCCCATTTTGATGGGAAGAGGCATAAATCTGCTCTTCCCTTCAACCAGAAGTAGAAGTAAGAAAGAAATATGGATTCTAGATTTCATGGGGCCTGGAATTCAAAATAAATCTAGGCACACTGAAAAGTTCTGAACCTGGCATCAGGAATAGACACTTCTGGTGTCCACCCAGAACGAGGCATTGAATGCACGGTTACAGCTGTCATTTTGACTTTGTATTCCCCGCCCCTCAAATGGACATTACTGGAGGAAGGTGTGTTGATTAATGAATGGGAAATAGACATCCTGTAAAAGAAAACTAGACCCCTCCAAAGATATACAGGTAGTGCTTAACTTACAACCACAACTGAGCCACCTTTTCTGTTGCTACATGAGATGGTGGTTTAGTGAGTTTTGGCCCATTTCTGACTTTTTTGGTCACAGTTGTTACTTGAATCACTGCAGTTGTTAAGTAAGTAACACAGTCGTTCAGTGAATCTGGCTTTGCTGGTCAGAAGGTCGCACATGCCCCCAGGGGACACTGCAACCGTCACAAACATGAGTCAGTTGCCGAGTGTCTGAACTTTGATCACCTGACCAAGGAGATGCTGCAATAGCTGTAAGTGTAAACAACGGTCCTGTCACTTTTTTCAGTTCTGTTGTAACTTTGAACGGTCACTAAATGAATTGCTGTAAGCTGAGGACTACCTGTAAGATAGGCAGGTTGCTTTGTCTTCTGCCCGAATTGTGTTAAATCGCGAAGACGTACATTTTGGAAAAGTTGGAGTGAACTTTTGCACCTCCCAGCATTTGAAGAACATTTTGAATGAACAATATTTAAATGTGAGCTGCCTAATGCAAATGCATAAGGCCATCAATGGGGGCTGTTAGATTTTAGGAAAAACGAATGATAAAGGTCAAGCTCTCTGTGGCAAGTAGAAAGTAGGAGCACAAGGAAAGTTAACAAAACAGTATTTTGTTCCCTATTTCCATCCTCAACCATGCTTGCCACTGGGTCCTCAGCCATTGCTGGCACCCCTATGTCAAGACTGATTTGTCTTTTCACCTTCATTTTCTCCCTCACTCAAAACTTGACAAAAAACAGAGTAGAGATTGTGGAATGGAGTGCAAAGGTGGGAGGGGTGGTATCTAGGCAACCGAGGCATCTTTGAGAGCCTGCAAGAATGCCAAGGTCACTAACGCAGGTGATCGATGGAGAAATGGACTTTTCTCATAATAAGAAGAAGTATTACCATTGAACAATGTGAACACCTGGTGGGTAGGGCGAGGGAATCTATTGTTTAATTAAGTAAACTTTCAAATGGGAAAACCAGAGGTGGTTTTGCTTCTTCTGTGCCAATGTAAATTTTCAGTAAAGTATTATACTTTTGGTAAAAACATGTCCCAGGAGTTTTTTTTTCTGGAAATGCCAACAGTTGATATCTTCTATACCAGAGATCTGTGGGGCAGCAGACCTTGCAAGAATGTGATTGAGCTATGGGAATTCTTCCATTCACACAACTGAGGGAGAAAACCAGAGGAAGGGAAAACTTGGGCAAACTTTGAAGGTCTCCAATTTATTTCAAGAAGACCCTGTTGGCCTTAACCAGCTCTCAACTAGCAATTACACCCATTGAGAATCAAGCCTATTCCTTTGTTGAACTTTTGTTGCATGGTTTTGTGTAGTAATGTAGCGTGTTTTTGGATTGGGGAGATGGATCATCCTCACAGTCTCCAATCTTCACCTGCAATTTAATAAATTGGAAAGGGAAGGCCTTTTGTTAAGGAAGTCATAACAATTGTCCCCATCCTTTGTACAGTATAGCCTAACCTATGTACCTGTGGAAACCTTCAAGGAGGAGAGAGCAAGAATGAAAGGAGAACAATAGGTTATTTTTGGTTACTATTTGTGAAGCCTTTCACAACACCCAGAATTCTAGGGTGAACACAGCAACAAAGGACTGGGAGAGAAAACATCTGCACATTAAGCTAGAAGGTGAGGTGACCACCTTCTCCTGGCCCAGTCCCCTTGCAGTAAATGCCATCATCTATTCCAATCAAGATCCAGCTTTCTTGAAGTCACCGACTTTCTACACCTTGCTCGTCAGCATGTGCCCATTGGAGTCGTCATTCTTCTGAGGCAGCATCATGTCCTTCAGATGGGTACTCTTCTCCTGCCGGAGTTCGGTGGGGTCTCCATCTTCAATACTATTGCCTTTGTGGAGGCACAGGACCTTCTGAAAGCTCTGCTTGAAGTTTTCCGAAAGAAATCCATAAAGGATGGGATTGGCACAGCTGTTGGCATAAGAGAGAACCACCACAAAGGAGAAAATGCCCACCAAGATGGGTTCCTCTGGCAAGATGAATATCAGATTGACAATATTCACAATGTAGAAGGGAAGCCAGCAGAAAACAAAGACCACAACTATGATGACCACCATTCTGGTCACTTTCCGCTCCGACCGCCGGCGTCTCGTAGAGCCAACTCGGATCCCAGAGGATTTCACTTTGATGACAATCAACAAATAGCAGAGGCATATCACCAGCAACGGAGCAAAGAAGCCCAGCACCGATGTATAGATGATGAACACAGCTGACCATATCTCAATTGGATCAGGCCAGCTCATGTTACAAGTGTGAAAATCTTCCTGGACGTCAGCAAATATAATCATGGGAAGGACCACCAAAAAGGATAAAGTCCAGACGGCCAAGCTGATCAATTTGGCTATTCTTGGCTGGCGCCACTTGGTAGATTTAATAGGATGGACAACTGCAAGGTAGCGGTCCAGGCTCATGACAGTCAGGCAAAAGATGCTGGTGAATTGGTTAATGCCATCAAAAGCAGTCACTAGCCTACAGGTGAATGTTCCAAAGGGCCAATAGGAGATAGCATTTTGGGTGGCTAGGAATGGCAAGCCCAACATGAAGAGGACATCAGCAATGGCTAAGTTCAGAATGTAAATGTTGGTCACGGTCTTCATTTTGGCATAACGCAAAACCACATAGATGACCAAAGTGTTCCCACTCAGTCCAATAACACAAACCAGAAGGTAAATTATTGGTATGAAGACAGAGCGGATACTGGAGGAGGCAGAAAAATCCATAACTGTTGCATTGTCTGTTGCATTTGTCAAAAAGGAGACATTAATATCTGGAAATGTGGCAGATACGTACAAAGGATCCATGGTGTTGTCCAATTTTACAAAAGACATAGGCTATTATAGGCTGTTTTAATTAGAGAAAAGAATATATCCAGTTTTGTTTCTATTGTTCAACATTTTCATGCTGGAAAAAAAAAGAAACATTGATTAAAAGATTATTTTCCTACCCCAGAATTCTACAGTTGGAAAGAACCATTTAGCGATCCCTTAGCCCTCTCACGACGATTGCTGAAACTGATAACACAGTTGCTCCCAACTTGAGATGGGAGGACAAATGAAAACTATTAGAAATGAAGTCTATATCCACTAAGATACCAGAGGTGAGCTCAAATCCAGGTGATCTTATGGATGCTTCCATGTCATTTTCTTGACAATAGGATCAATGTGGTTTCCCGCTGCATTCTTCCAGAATGACTTTTTAATCTACAGACCCGGGAAAAGGTAGAGCAAGTTACGTTCATATCCCCACCAAGATCTCCGAAACCTTCCAAAATGGCTCTATTCTTATGGATGCTAACAAATCAACAGAGAACATGGCAGAAGAAGCAAAGAATGTGCTCAGTGGCAATTTTGTGGACAATATTGGGGTCTCACCCCATTTTTCTACCATGTAGTCAACCATGAGTCAAAGGCTGATGACATGTGACCCTTAACCTTCCAGAAGGCAATGACACTTGAACTGAACTATCCAGGGATTACTAGAAAGATTCCTTCTTGAGTTCAGGCAAACTTGTTTGATGCTACTATTGGCTATGATTTACCCTTTACAACAGTGCTTCCCAACCACTTTGAAATGCATGGACTTCGGCTTCAGGAATTCCTCAGCCAGTATGCATGTTGACTGTGGAATTCTGGGAGTTGAAGTCCACACATTTTAAAGTTGCCGAGGTGAAGAAGCACTGTTTTAGAAGGAAGCAAAATAATGTGGATGGGGGAAAAATTAAGGTCAGTGTTATTTGTGATATGATTTATGAGAAGTACCCATGCAATGAATTAATCAAAAATTGCATTAAAATGGATTGATAGTTTATTCTGGTACGGAGAATATTCACTACCAGAGCAGCTGTGAGGACCTGACCCTTGCTGATACTGGGAAAATAAAGCACGGTGCTTAGATTATAAATTATCAGTGCCCAACGTGCGTTTCTAAGTGTGCATTGTTATTTGGAAATCTTATTTTACAGACGACAGGGTAACAACAGCAGTTTAGTCAGCCCAAACACAACTGTAAATAAAACATAATATTGCAGAAGCAAAATTTCCCCCATGCTGAGCTCTGCTCTGCTTGCTTTGTGGGGTCCTGCCTCTGAACTTTTTTTTTGGCAACCAATAGAGAAATGACTATTTGCTATTTCTTTTTGTGGGGAAGCTTCCCCCCCACCCCCCAATCTAGTCTAGGCCTAGAATGCCTTGGAAATTTCCTTTCAAAGGTTCAAGGAGATGAGCGTAAAAAAAGTCAAGATGGGCCCTGCAACGCCAAGTTCACACCTCATTTTTTCACATGGGCCATGTGTTCAAAGCCACTGTACAGGTAGTCCTCAACGTACGACCACAATGGAGCCCAAAATTTATGTTGGCAAGGGAGAAATTTTTTTAAGTGAGTTTTGCCCCATGTTACAACTTTTCTTGCCACAATTGTAAAGTGAATCACTACAGTTGTTTAATTAGCTACTCTGTTTGTTATGTGAATCTGGCTTTAAGTGAACCTTGCTTGTCAAAGCTGATCACAAAATCCCAGGACACTGCAACTGTCGTAAATATGAGTCAGTTGCCAATTTTGATCACATGACCCCAGGAATGCTGCACACTTTTTCATAAGTGTGAAAAATGTTCGTAAGTCACTTTTTTCAGTGCCGTTGTAACTTTGAACGGTCACTAAACAAACTGTTGTAATTCACGGACTACCCGTACTTGACTCCCCACCCCATGGATCCTTCTGGAGCTGGCTCTGCTTTAATCAGTAACACACTGCCTCCTTCTGCACAACTCCCCCCCCCAGCCCTCTTCACAAATGTGATGGGACCACGACTGCTTGAAGTCTCACCGTGTCAAATAAGGGTGGCTCTTCCTTATTTGCTGACCCTTATTTTGGCCATCGAATTCAGCCCTCTGAGTGGCGCAGGAATGTGAATTAAATAGGTTTAGTCAAAGGCATTAACGAAGGAGCAGCCCTGGAATGCTTTCTGTAGATGCTCAAAGCACCGGACCATATAGCTGCAGCTAACTGATCAGAACTGCATTTTATTAAGCAGTTTGGTTTTCAGCAATCTGAACAAATAGAACATAAGGAGAAAGAAAGAAAGAAAGAAAGAAAGAAAGAAAGAAAGAAAGAAAGAAAGAAAGAAAGAAAGATTTCATTTAGCTAACTAGAGTTAGATCAGTGTTTCTCAACCTTGACAATTTTAAGGCATGTGGACTTCAACTCCCAGAATTCCACAGCCAGCATTGCTGGCTGTGGAATTCTGGGAGTTGAAGTCCACATGCCTTAGAATTGTCAAGGTTGAGAAACACTGAGATAGATAGATAGATAGATAGATAGATAGATAGATAGATAGATAGATAGATAGATGACACATAGATGATAGATGGATAAGGATAGATAATAAATGATAGATGTCAGATAAATGACAGATAGAGAGATTAGAGAGAGAAAGAGGACATAGATAGACAGACAGATAGGATCTCTTTAGCGGACTGTGTTCAGCAGGTCAGCGATTCAAATCTCACCGGCTCAAGGTTGACTCACGCCTTCCATCCTTCCGAGGTAGGTAAAATGAGGACCAGATTGTTGGGGGCAATGTAAAAAATATATATATATATACATTGCTTACTGGTGTACACCGCTTAGAGAGTGCTTGCACTTAAAGCGGTATATAAGTCTAATAAATAAATAAATAAATAAATAAATCTCCATACATAGATTAACTAATTGTTTATCAGTTGCATAGGTATACTTATTTAAATAAAATACTGTTCCATTTCCAAATCAGATTTTTTATTATAGGAAATCCTGATTTATATTTTTTAATGGAGAGGAGGTTTTTTTTTTTTTTTTTAAATCCCAAATACGTTTTTTGACGAGTAGCTAATGTAACAGACACATTTTGGTATGCCTTCTAAATCTAACATACCTATTTAAATGAACAGTTATTCTGAGCCAAGAGCTCAAAGTTCACATTTGCAGAAAGGTGAAAAGAGAAGGATAATTGCCCAGCGTCTGGGACTGAAAACTGGGCTGAGCAGCCTTCCCCTTGCTCCTCTACACAAAGCAAAAGAGCAGCCAGACAGTCACCAGCATTTGAGTTCAGAAGCTTCAGGCTGTTCTTTGCTGCAGCTGTTCCACCAAAGCCCCCCCCCTTTTTTTAAAAAAAAACATGCATGGCATATCTGTCACATGTCAAAAGGGCATGCATGGCCATGATCAGATTTTGATGTTTTTAACCTCCACTCACGTCTCAAAATGGCTCTGATCCTTACCTTTTTGTAAACCTTCACAGGTCCAACAGAATAATGAGCATACATGGAGGCCTTGACTTACAACCATGCTCGCTTAGTGACCGTTTGAAGTTCCGGCGGACCTACCTGGGGGAGCACTTAAGACCTGGATTTGAAGTTTCAGTGGCCAGGCCCCGTCACAGTCATGAGATTACACGTCAGGTGCAACCAGGCTGCATTTATGGCTGTTTGCAGCATCCAACAGTCATGTGACCACGATTTATGGTGGGTTTGCCCAAAACCGGCATTTCGGCAAAATCGCACCATTAGCCATCCATTGCTTTGCTTAACGATTGTAGCATTTGCTTGACCACGGTCACAAAAAAGGCTGTAAAATTGGCTTGGACATGGTGACTGACTCGCTTTACGACTGTCACAAGTTACAACTGTGATGGGCAGGTTCTATTACGGTTGTAAATCAAAGTAATGTCCTTGTCCAGAACAAAAGAAGCAACCATGTTTGAGGCTTCTACTTTCACGTCAGGCCGACAAGCCTGCAGGGGCTTTTTTCAGAATATCTGCTTGGAAATGATGATTACGAAAATAACGTGCCTCTTCAAAAGGCAGATTGGTGTAGCCGTTAAGATAGCAGGCTAGAAACTGGGAGACTGGGAGTTGTAGTCCTGTAGAGCCGTGATGGCTCAGTGGCTAGAATGCAGCACTGCAGGCTAGCTCACTGCCCACTGCCAGGAGTTCGATCCTGGCTAGCTCAAGGTTGACTCAGCCTTCCATCCTTCCAAGGTACGTAAAATGAAGACCCAAATTGTTGGGGCAATGTGCTAGCTCTGTGAACCACTTAGAGAAGGCTCTAAAGGATTGTGGGCCAGTATATAAGTCTAAGTGCTGTTGCTATTGCTATTAGGCACGAAGCAAGATCCTAGGGAGAAGCAGGCAAAGACCCAGTCCCCAAATCTTGCCAAGAAAACTGCGGGGAATTTTCCGTGCTGACTCAAAGTGCAGAAACACACACATATACACAAAGCATCTTTCAGAATCTTTCACTCTCTGTGTCTCTGTCTCTGTCTCTCTCTGTCTCTCTCTCACATACACACACACAGAGAGATCTATTTGTCTGTTCCAGATGTCTCTCCACCTTAGTGTTTTTTAACACTAAGTCCACACATCTTACAAATCGTCAAGGCTGAGGAACCCTGCTCTTCTCACCCCTTCAAGAACGTATCCGGCAAAGGGGAAATACTTAAATATTTAAAATACAGGTAGTCCTCAATTTACAACAGCTCATTTAGTGACCGTTCGAAGTTACAACGGTACTGAAAAAAGTGTGACTTGTGACCAATGGATGGAAACTAACCAAGGAGAGAAGCAACCTGGAACTGAGGAGAAACTTCCTGACAGTTAGAACAATTAACCAGTGCAACTACCTGCCTCCAAAAGCAATGAATGTTCCAACACTGGAAGTTTTTAAGAAGAGACTGGACAGCCATTTCACTGGAATGGCTAGGGTTTCTTGCTTGAGCAGATGGTTGGACTAGATGACCTCCGAAGTCCCTTCCAACTATTATTATTATTATCGATCATCGCACAGTCAGCCAGATGTTCAGACTGGATTTGGCATTTTGTCTACCTATCGAGTCCTTACCCAGGACCTGGGATAGGCAGATGTGGATGTTTGATGGTATTACAGATATCGTCGCAGGATGGAAGCATTCCTAATAAGGCCGCCTTTTGCAATTGACTAATAGCGAATTTGTCAATGCCAATGGTGTTCAAGTGGTGCTCCAGTTGTTTTGGGATTGCACCCAAGGAGCCTATGACTATTGGTACTACCCTTGCTTGCTTTTGCCACAGTCTTTCTATTTCTATTTGTAGGTCTTTGTATTTTGTTATCTTCTCCAGTTCTTTCTCTCTATTCTGCTGTCTCCAGGCACTGCCACGTCCACTATCCAGACTTTTTTGTCTTTCTTATCGACAATTGTTAAGTCTGGGGTGTTATGTTGCAGGTGCTTGTCTGTTTGAATTCTGAAGTCCCAGAGCAGTTTAATTTTATCATTTTCTATGACTTTCTCTATTTTATGATTCCACCAGTTATTATTATTATTATTATTATTATTATTATTTACACATAACCATTGGAGCATCCCCATTGGTCAAGTGATCTAAATTCAGATGCTTGTCAAGTGACTCACACTTACGACACTTGCCATGTCCTGGGGTCTTGTGATCCCCTTTTGCATCCTTCTGATAAGCAAAATCAATGGGGAAGTCAGATTCACTTAATAACTGTGTTATTAACTTAACAACTGCATTGATTTGCTTAACAACTGTGGCAAGACAGGTCATAAAATGGGGCAAAACCCACTTAACAAATGTCTCTCTTAGCAACATAAATGTTGGGCTCATTTGTGATCATAAGCTGAGGACTACCTGTACTTAAATACTAATGAAGTACTTTCTTTCAAATTTAATCAGAAACTGCCTTCTGTATCATAAATCTGTTATTTTATCCTGGGTCTGACATTTGCTATGATAGCCTTTGAAGTACTTAAGAGGATTATCATATTCCCCACTACACTCACCTTAACCCATCACCTTTCTCAAGGGTCAAACGACAGTTCTATCTTTTGTCTTCATAGAACTCATCAGCTTTCTTTCAACCTGTTCCACTTTCTCTAAATTCTCTTCAAAGTGTGTCAAACTGGACAAGTGTTTAAGTGATTACCAGGTAATCTCATCCTTGCCTTTGTTTTCAGTTACCTGCTGCCAAAAAATGGGAGATCAGGCTATAGGAAGGTCTTTCCTGAAAATCTGTGGAAAAACCTGGAACATAGTATGTAGAATAAAACTGTTGGAAGGGACCTTGGAGGTCTTCTAGTCTAACCCCCTGCTCAAGTAGGAGATCCTATACAATTTCAAACAAATGGTTGTCCAGTCTCTTCTTAAAAGCCTTCAGTGATGGAGCTTCCACAATTTCTGGAGGCAAGTTGTTCCACTGGTTAATTGTCCTCACTGTTAGGAATTATCTCCTTAATTCTAGGTTGCTTCTCTCCTTGATTAGTTCCCATCCATTGTTTCTTGTCTTGCCTTCAGGCGCTTTAGAGACCCCCCCCCGTCTTCTTTGTGGCAGCCCCTCAAATATTGGAAGATGCTATCATATCAGACTAGTCCTTCTCTTTATTAGATTAAACATTCTTGCAATCATTCAGATGTTTCAGCCTCTAGTCCCCCTATTATCTTTGTTGTTTTCCTCTGTACTCTTTCCAGAACCTCAATATCTTTTTTATACTGTGGTGGCCAGGAGTGGATGCAGAATGCCAAGTGTGGCATTACCAAGGCTTTGTAAAGTGGTACAAAAAAAGGTTTTTTTTTTTTAAAAAAAAAAAGGGGGGGGGAGAGATTAATTGACCTGATCCAACAAAACATCCCTTCTCATATAAGTTTACTCTGGCATATGCATGAAAATTGCTGATGGATCTCAAACCCAAAATTGGCTGATTTTTACACATAAATGGAAGATGAACATTCTTGCTTAATGGTTTAAAAAAAAAATCAGCCAAACTACAGTGACTACATCCTGGAGAGATGGTCTTAATAAAAAGTGAGCTATAGCTAAACTCTGCCTGCACATGAGAATGGCATCAAATTATTACTACCAAAGGAATTGTGCCTTCGAAAAAGCAATTTTAAAGTTCCTTTCAATTTTGAAGCTACAGAGTATCAGGAACAGAGTTGAGAATGGCTGCTGTTTGCCTCCTGTGAAAATGAATAATTCAAAGATTTCTACAATTCTGCCACTCTTGCTATACTGCAGACTTTGGTTGGGTTTTCCTACTTGGGGCTGACCAGAGAATTCCAGAATGCAGACTATCCCAGATCCCTTCCTACCTATGTCCAGCTTTTGTTCGGCTCCTTTGAAGCAAAACCTTCTCGAAGTTGGTTGAAAAAAAAAAACAGGCCGAAAAAAGTGGCCACAAGTCACTTCTTTTCTAAGGATTCAAGTCCTCACCACAACAGGTGACAGCACTACCCAAGTTTGATGGATTTTTTTTTAAAAAAATACAAAAATAGAGTCTGCTTGGATGGGAGACCACCAAGAAGTCCAAGCGGGTGGATTAGTCTGGAATGTCAAATACATGCACGCCTGTATAGACATATGGAAGACAGCAGTGATAAAGTACTGTACTGTACTTCTGTACTGTCTCAAAGGTGCTGAAGAACTGAAGAACTGAAGAAGCTTCTTGGATGTGAAGCGAAATGTCTTCAAGGAAAAACCAAGAAGGTCCAGTTGAAAAAGCACCCTTGGGACAATCATGACCTGGATGACTGAGAATCTCTGTGCAGTTGCCAAGAAAACTGCATAGATCGGTTCACCTGGTCCACAGAAGTTGAACTTGGTCATTTTTTTCTGTTCACTACTTGAACAAGGAGTGTGAGAAATTTGTTATAGTTGCATCCTTCCCCACCAGATAGCAGATAGTTTTTGCATTCTATTTACTTTGTAGGGATTCCAGAGATTAGATTGAAAAAAACATGTATGTTCTTACCCTTCCCATCCCATCTTATTGTGTCTTTTGATCTTTCAATCATCAGGCTCCCTGGGACACAGACTCACTTGTCAAAATGATGGACTGAGATGGTGCCGATGGAAGCTTCACCTGGTTTTATATTACACTGTCATGGCCAACTTGACTTATTTGACAGTAACTGCAGACACCCCAAAGGTTCATGATATCCATGACTGCTTGTGATCATAGGCAAAGAAAATGCATGACCTCAGCATCACTGGATCAAGTTTCCCATAATCCTCAGCCCGAATGGCCAAGGAAGATAGAAGGAGTACTCTAGCTACATTTGGAGGGTCAACAGTGGCCTGGCCCTGACATATATGTATTAATAGGGCTCTGCTTGATGCCCGTATTCAAGAATTTAGACAGTGTAGTTTTCGTTCTCCTTGTGTGTGGCAGAGAGGGAACATGGGTTTTGGAGTGGAAATCCATAACAATTTCTCCAGTTAAAACTGGGTGGCAAAACCTGAAGGATCTTCTGAGTCCACTGATCCATGAGTAGTTAGGGGAATGTTACAACTGTCCTGCCTAGACGGATGAATGAAGAAATATCCATCCATCCATCGATCCCTGATTCTCTTTTACACACAAATGCAACAGGTTACAATTCTCATCTAACCTTGTCTGACCTTGAACAAGTGTGAAAAGGTAATCCAAATCAGTTCCTTGTTGGGATACTCCCAGGAGAATCCAAGCTCAACTAGAAACCATCTCAGAAGAAAGCAGAAACAAGAATCCCTTTATGATAGGTTACCTCAAAGCAGGGTTACCTTTGCTATATTATTCAAAGCGTAAGAGAGTTCATTGCCTTGTCGCAGTCAACTTGTGTTATTGCTACTTCCTGGAATAACTCTGCAGGATTCCAAAAAAATTCCTTCCCTGCGGCCTGAATGACTGATCCTGCCAATTACTCAGAGGTAAAGCCTCTGTTCACCTTCTCTGTCTGAAAAATGCATTGTTAAGCTCATGACTGTTTTTTTTAGGACCCCACCAGACTTTCTTCTAGGACATTAACTCTGGGAAATGTTCTCCTGTGCAGGCAAGCATGAAATTCCCCCAATTGTCCCCTTTCTTCTCAATCAAGGATTAAAAAAAAAAAAAGAATTTTATGATCCAGGAGATTGGAATGGCTGACAACAATGAGGAGGATTAAATGAATTAAAATCCAAGCAGAAATAGATTTTTTTAAAGACTCCTTCTGATAATGATAAAATAGTTCTTTAAGTCCCTTCGCTTGTGGGAGACCAATCACAGAAGCTGCAACTCACACTAAACTTATAGGGAAGTTAAATATTCATTTTTGCAAACATCTCTTTAGCAGTGCTTCTTCCCTGGCCCTTAATGAGTTAGTTGCTTTAGAATCAACCTCTTTAGTCCATAAACTGCAAAGCAAGTTGCAAAGCCAGCCACACACACACACATGCACAAACACTCCCCAACACAGAGATAATTAGTGGCAAAAATAGATGAATGAGAAACTAACAGTAAAAGCCAGTAAAAATAAAATAATTCAAAAAAAAAAAATCTGACTCACCGGTAAAGATCTTTGAAGATCTCTAGTGGCTTTACACATTCTTCTAAGAGGGATAAAAGTGGGAGGGGGGCCCTTCTTGTTAGCTTCCTCCTCTCCCCATCGTAAATGCAGATTGCTGAGCATCTGAAAGCCTTCTGCAATTTTTAAATGTCTGGGTGATTTTTTTAAGCTCCACCCACTCAATCTATTGAATAAATGTAGCATTTTCCTGGGAAACGTCAGGTTTCCCTGCTTCAGCCTCCCTGGTGAAATTGAGCAGAACCTTTGACACTCATTCCAAGCATCACACACACACACACACACACACACACACACACTCCTCCCCCCCAACGAAACCTCTCCTCTGGTGCACGGTGAAGCTTCCTTATCCACTCCCTGTGTAGTGGGGACTGAAACTGCGGTTTTGCACAAAACAGTCACACCCTTCTAACTCTGGATTTATGAATGCAAAGGACGAACAAGCAAGGCTGAACTGAAAAAACAGCTTGTGGGTTTCAAACATAAATGAAAAATGAATCGCCTGCAATCAGCACTCCAGTGACAGGAGAATCTAAGTAATTGGTAGCTAAGCACGGGACAGAAATCAGAAATCAACTACTATAAGCAGAAGTTTCTCCTCACAGACAGTACAAAGGCTCTGCTAAAAAAAAAAATGTCACACCTTCAGTTGTTCAGCATTGAGAAGACAGGATGAGAGGAAGAGGATCTGGACAGTGGTCCTACTGACACAGCCTAGCTGTGGCACTATACACAGAGGACCTGCTCACAACTTGGTGTTCACTACTTGGCCATAGCAGGGCCAAATGGTGACATCACCCATGGATGGAATGGCGCCCCCCCTTCTGACACGCCAATGTGGCTGCTTTCCCAAGACAAGTTGTTTGAATGCAGGGTCATCCAACGAGATCGGCATGCGTCTGCAAATCAAAGTTATCTTAATTATTTTCTGGGAAGAAAGACGCAACTGAAATAAAATTATCTGTCATGATAGTCAGTCCAGATGTTGTTGGGGCTTTCTGCCCCCTCTTCCAAGATTGTTTTTGTACAGTGTGCATGACAAGCCTTTGCCTTTCCTACTGCAAAGGTAGAGGAAAGGCACCAGTTGTGATTTCTTGACACAACCATAAATATCTCTTGGCATACAAGAAATGACTTACGTTTGAAAGAGCCCCAAAGCTGAAGCATCCCGAACAATGAAAACAAGTCAGGATTCTTTTTGCACTCCACGGAGATGTCCCGTCTTAATGACTACATTCCCAAACTTGCCTAACCTGGTTATTGAAGTGACATGTCTTCTGGGTTTATGCCATAGCCTGGACAAACAGCCTGAGTTCACGCCATATGTGTACACTCATAGACAGACACAAAATAATCCAAGGTGATGATTAACTTAGCAAGTTTTCACCTGCCCTGGTTAAGAGGGTTGTGTGAATTTATACAATCCAAACCTACCTTCCTTCCTTCCTTCCTTCCTTCCTTCCTTCCTTCCTTCCTTCCTTCCTTCCTTCCTTCCTTCCTTCCTCCCTCCCTCCCTCCCTCCCTCCCTTCTTCTTTCACTCTCCTTCCTTCCTTCCCTCCCTCCCTCTTCCTTTCACTCTCCTCCCTTCCTCCCTCCCTCCCTTCCTTCCTTCTTCCCTCCCTCCCTCCTTCCTTCCCTCCCTCCCTCCTTTCCTTCCTTCCTTCCTCCCTCCCTCCCTCCCTCCCTTCTTCTTTCACTCTTCCTTCCTTCCCTCCCTTCTTCTTTCACTCTTCTTCCTTCCTTCTTCCCTCCCTCCCTCCCTCCTTTCTTCTTTCACTCTCCTTCTTTCCTTCCTTCTTTCCTTCTCTCCCTCCCTCCTCCCTCCCTCCCTTGTTCTTTCACTCTCCTTTCTTCCTTCCTTCCCTCTCTCCTTCTTTCACTCCTTCCTTTTTTCCTTCCTTCCTTCTTCCCTCCCTCCCTCCCTTCTTCCACTCTCCTTCCTTCCCTCCTTTCCTCCCTCCCTCCCTTCTTCTTTCACTCTCCTCCCTCCCTTCCTTCCTTCCTTGGGGTTCCCAGGGCCTGTCCCCACCCCTCCAAGCTTTGTTGCCATCATTCCCATGACCAGGGCAGGGAAACTGCCTAATCTCCACTAGGTTGTCTTGGGCCTGCAAAGGTTATGAGTGGGACCCCCACCCCTTTCCAGGTTTCTTTTTTTCTTAGCCTGGCAGAAGCCAGAATTTTAAGAGGGTCTCAGAGCGGAAGGGGTAAAAGTAGTGAAGATTAGAGGAAAAAGGTGAGGAACGCGTTTGCTGCCTCTTCAGCGTTCCAGGTTGCAGGTACAGTCAGCGTCTCCATCTGTGTGTGTGTGGGGGGGGGTCTGGCTGGAGGGGGGGGATGTGTCTACAGAATTTCAGGGCAATGTGAAAAACGGCAACACTCTGTTAAAAGGGGTGGGGTGGGGGGCTCTAAGAAGCAGGGCATGGGGCAACTCCCTGAGCACAGTGAATATGCAGGTACTGCAGAGGACCTGAAGGAATAGAATAGAATAGAATAGAATAGAATAGAATAGAATAGAATAGAATAGACAGATGGTAGAATAGAATAGAATAGAATAGAATATAGAATAAATAGAATAGAATAGAACAGAATAGAATAGAATAGAATAGAATATAGAATAAATAGAATAGAAATAGAATAGAAATAGAAATAGAAATAGAATAGAATAGAATAGAATAGAAATAGAATAGAATAGAATAGGATAGAATAGAATAGAATAGAATAGAAATAGAAATAGAATAGAATAGAATAGAATAGACAGATGGTAGAATAGAATAGAATAGAATAGAATAGAAATAGAATAGAAATAGAATAGAATATAGAATAAATAGAATAGAATAGAAATAGAATAGAAATAGAATAGAAATAGAATAGAATATAGAATAAATAGAATAGAATAGAATAGAAATAGAATAGAATAGAAATAGAATAGAATAGAATAGAATAGAACAGAATAGAATAGAAATAGAATAGGATAGAATAGAATAGAATAGAAATAGGATAGAATAGAATAGAATAGAATAGAATAGACAGATGGTAGAATAGAATAGAATAGAATGGAATAGAATAGAATAGAATAGAATAGAAATGGAAATAGAAATAGAATAGAAATAGAAATAGAAATAGAAATAGAATAGAATAGAAATGGAAATAGAAATAGAAATAGAATAGAATAGAAATAGAATAGAATAGAATAGAATAGAAGCTGGAAGGGACCTTGGAGGTCTTCTAGTCCAGCCCCCTGCTCCAGCAGGAGAACCCATCCCCTCTCAGACAAGTCCAGTCTCTTCTTAAAAACCTCCACGGACGGAGCGCCCACGATTTCCACAAGCTCGCTGGGATCCACAAAGCAAGAAGCCCTCCCAAAGGCGGATCCCCAGGCGGAACGCGCCCTTCCTCGCTTCGGTCGCCACCTCTTTCTCTCCCGGCGCCCGGGAGGAGGGGAGCGCGGCGGGGCCGGGGGCTGCCCCCCACGCTATCGCCCGGGCGCCCAAGGGGGCTGCGGGCTTCCCCGTCGCGTCTCCTGGGGGGGGGAGGAAGGCGGGGGGGCAGCCATCAGCCGTCCGTTTCAATAGGAAATGGACCCCCGCCAGGTCAGCCCCCCCCCGCCAGGTTCTCCTGCTCGACCAGGGGGCTGGACTAGAAGACCTCCAAGGTCGCTTGCAGCCGCTCCGGGTCTCGGGGCGCCTGGATGCGGGGGGAGAGCAGGCGGGCACCGATTCTCTTGCCCTCATAGGATAACAGATTAATTTCTTGCCTTGGATGTCCTCGTTGCAAATTTGAACCCTAATTTTAGCTAAAGGCACACCAAAGACCCTTCTTTCCCATCAGATTTTTTTAAAAAAGTTTAGAATCAAATGTCTTCAGAGATTCTCAATCATCCAGATCATGGTTGTCCCAGCAGTGCTTTTCAAAAGGCAATGGAACTTTTCTTGGGTTTTTTCCTTGAAAACATTTTGTTGCTGTTAGTTGCAAAGTCGTGTCCGACCCATCGCAACCCCAAGGACAATGTTCTTCCAGGTCTTCCTGTCCTCTACCATCTTCTGGAGTCCATTTCAGCTCACGCCTGCTACTTCGGTGACTCCATCCAGCCACCTCATTCTCTGTCATCCCCTTCTTCTCTTGCCCTCAATCTTTCCCAGCATTAAGCTCTTCTCCAGTGAGCCCTTCCCTCTCATTAGGTGGCCAAAGTACTTGAGTTTCAACTTCAGGATCTGGCCTTCTAAAGAGCAGTCAGGGTGGATCTCTTCTAGGACTGACCAGTTTGAACGCCTTGCAGTCCAGGGGACTCGCAGGAGTCTTCTCCAGCACCATAGTTCAAAGGCCTCAATTCTTTGGCGCTCAGCCTTTCTTATGGTAACCAGCAATTCTGAACCCCGAGGGCGGGTTCAGACTTCAGTTTTAGACTTTCCTTTTCTCAGGAACAAAGGCATACACATTGAAATACTCATTGTAATACATTAGGTTCGTTTCTCACGGGTATACAATGGAGAGTTTGCTACATACGTTGTATCCAAGTGCAATGCGCATTAGGTTAGTCACATACTACTAACACAGCACTATTCCAGTAATTATGCAGACACATCATTATTCTAGTGATTGTTCATTATTCCACATTAGTATGGTTGCCCCAAAGGTGCTTTTTTTTTTTTCAAAAGGCAACTGGACTTTCTTGGTTTTGCCTTGAAGACGTTTCCCTTTTCATCCAAGAAGCTGCTTCAGCTCTGACTGGACCAGCTGTCTTCAAGGAGTATAAATCTTTCCATTCACCCCCCCTCCACCATCCATTCAGAGCTGAAGAAGCTTCTTGGATGAGAAGCGAGAAGTCTTCATAGAAAAAAACAAAGAAAGTCCAGTTGCCTTTGGAAACAAACAAACACCTTTGGGACTCACTTACCTGGCCTTAAAAAATTAGAAGCGGCTCCATCTGTCGGGAGCCGCTCCTCCTTCTCCGCAGAAAACTTTAAAGACATCCATCGAAGTCTCAAAGGTGTATTTTTTTTTTTTTTTAAAAGGCAACTGCCTGGCTGAGGAATTCTGGAAGTTGAAATCCACAAGTCATGAAAGGGCCAAGTTTGAAGACCCCTGACCTAGAGAGTGGGCAGGCACAAGGCTCGCAAGAGACCCTCCCCACTTTCTTGGGTTGTAAAGAAAATGTGTGTGTGTGTGGGGGGGGGAGAATTGTACTTTTAGACTGGCAAGATTGTTGGCC